CGGAAACGTTTGTGTAGCCCGAGTGAGGTGGGAGATGACAACGAATGACGCCGAAAGTCAACCAGATGCTCACGGAAGCCAATTTTTCGAAGAAGTCTATGTACCCAGGGAGCATTCAAATGCGGACGTAGCAAGTATTGCCACTTGCTTTCCTGGACCCAAACCGAGGAAATGGGAAGTTTGATCTCAACCGGAATGGCACAGAAAAGCCAGTAAGTGTTGGATCGCTTCCAGTGCTGAAGTGCAGGTTCGAAGAAGGCATGGCGTCCCCGAAGTAGCTGTAGAAATTTGCGACTGCGTGAGTGTTCTCGTCGAAGAACATCCTGATCAGTTGCTCCAACGTAGTATGGACTGTGCCATGGAGAAAGTCTGATGTAGACGCGTGGTTGTTGATGGTGACCTGGATCTTGAATGAAGTCATAGAGGTCCGGGAAACGTGTCCGTAGTGAGCGAAGGTGTCTTGTGTCCGCAAAAGTGCAATGCATGATTTCACACAACAGAGACGTCTTGTAGAAGTGAAGAACCTCGAAAAACGGCGGGACATACCCATAATCTTGAGAAATGAGACGCTGCAAGAAACTGATCAATAAATAGGCAGTGCACCGGCACCTGTGAAGTTCATACCTGTTGGCCACAGTGTGATAAGACTGCGACATGGAGTGAATCGGGATCTGAAGTGCGATCCGAACCACAACTAGTACTTCCAGAATAAGGCCCAGCCAAGGTAGCCGCTCAACTGACTCATATTCATCCATTGGTATCGACGGTGGTGGAAGTCCAGGAAAGCAGTATTGCCAGCACGTAGAGAACATTGTCAACGAGTGCAGAAAGGTATCTAAGGAATGCCATTGTGCAACATCATCATAGATTCCACAGCGGCGAAGCTCAGCCAACATGGTGAACATGCAACCAATGAAATCTACAATGTGGCGGCGACAGGAATGCAAGCGGCAATTAACACCAAGCAATTCACAACGCAAGCAAAGACAAGCACATCATCAAACAAGTGCAGAGCAAGAAGAGGACGGACAAGTTTTGAACCATTCATCAATCATGACACAGCTGCCACTCCGGGCTCATAAGTGAACGAAGGTAACTGCTCACCCTGTGAGTAAGCGGGCAGTCACGATGAGGTGACACAACGCCTTGTCAGTGAGCTTGGTGAGGTAGCCAGGCTCCAGTCCCCACAGAGCCGCCATCGCCACAAACGTAGGTGCGTCTCCTTTTAGGATGCGTTGACGCGCCTGAAAGACCTGGGTCGACATGGATTCCAAGGACTTGTTGCCGTTGAGACGGGATGGGTGATTGGCCCACTTGATCAATGACGCCAAAGTAGTGGTGGTGGGCGATTGCTTGAGATACAAGCGTGGTTGATCACTAGTCCATGTGTAGTACTTGATGACGTCTGCAGGCGTGCTGTGCATGGTGAGCAATTGTGACACCGCCGGCTTGGAAGGCGGTGAAGAAAGTCCGTGCAGAGACTGCATGATTCGGGGTTGCACTGCGCCATCAAATGACTTGCCATCAAGGGCTGCTGCACTGACCGTAGGTAGGGAGCTGGTCGGTGACGAAGATTGTGTGTGATTGGTCGGTGGTGGTGTGACCAACTCTGCATCATCCTTCTGGGTTGGCACCGTAGGGGAAGTCGAAGCGCGTAGCGCTGCCGAATACTGAGCCTGTAGCAACTCATGAGCTCGATTTAGATCATTGAACTTCTTCACCATGTCTTCCGTTTGGGTAGAGGGCGTGAGAGTCGCGTGTTGCTGCTGAAGGAACTGAAGCACCAAGTTGGCCAAATGGTCATGAACCTTGATACGCTGGTTGAAGTCGTCAAGGTTGAGCCCCAGTGAGCTGGCAAGGTCCTTCTCTAAGGTGAGCAGGTTGATCGACTGTGATCGTCGTAGGTAGTTTGGAACAGGTACTCCAAAGTAGGGCCTCGGTGCGAGTGCGAAAGCCTTCCCATGTCACGAACCTGCCGTGAGCAAATGGTCGGAGCAGCCAGTTGGTGATGCCCCCGTGAATGACCTGAACCAGGCGAACGTCACGAATGTCCATGCCGGACATGTCACGTAGGTTGTTGTGCGGGGTGTTGGCGACCGTCATGGGCAGGCTGAAGTTGTAGAGCTGGTTGATGTCTAGCATGCCATCTCCAGGTGTCCAGTCAACCGGTGGTGTAAGCCATGCTTTCTGAGGTCGAACTGGCAGGGCTGCAGGGTATCCAGGCGATGGTGTAGCTTGAAGGAGTGACCGGTGGTGGCATCACGGGCGTGATGAACTTCGCTGGCGCGGGCTCTGGAGGAACCGGTATCATGTAGTTGACCGGTGAATGATGGAACTGCTGCGTGGGGTTTGGAATCGATTGATAATTGCCTGGCATCACCGGAAAGTTGTTGCTGGAGTTGTAGCCTGAATTGTGTTGCCAGGATACCAGGTTGTTCCAATCCATGCCCTCCGAGACCTGATTGTCATTGTGTTCGCGTCGGCGTGCTTTGCGAGCTTGAGGGGAAGGACTCCGATCCCGTCTGCGCCGTGTTCTGGATCTGTCACGATCATCCGTCGAGACATGATGGCACAACAAACTCAAAACTGCGACACCTCAATCTTGAGAGAATCGAATCCGACAAGATGCAAGTCAACGCAAGTTCAAGCCAAGCACAGATCAACACGCGGCCATGCAGCCACCAGCAGCGATTGTGAGACTTAGCTTGTTCTATGATAAGCATGTTGAGGTCAAATTTTCCGACAGAGTCGGCCCGGGGTCACACAATGGGTACACCCGAGGGTTCCCCACGAATGGGGTGTACACACTTAAACTCCAGATGGAGGGTGCTAATCTTTCGAGTACAACTGATGAGTCTCGAGTACAACTGATGAGGCTCGAGTACAACTGACAAGTCTCAAGTCGGATAAGGTTCGGCTGGCAGGTCACTTGGCTTCACTCTAGTGTCGAAAACGTTACAAGGTTCAACATGAAGCACACACAGCGGCAAAAGAAGCGGCCAACTGGACTTTCATCAACATCACTTCACAAAAGCAGGTACACACGGGTGATCAATCCGTGCATCCACCATCAAGCATAGCTTCGTTGGCCAGCGTTTGCTTGATGGCCGCTGGCCCCCTGCTACTAATTGTGGTGACAGGGTATTCTGCCACTCCGCACACACACACACACACACACACACACACCCGGCCCCCCACCCAAAAGGGGGGCTCGGTTTGGCGCCGGAGGATCCTGCGTTCGAGCCATAGGGGGAGCTATGGGAACATTCTGGCCCGGGAAATTGTCTTGCATGGCCTCAGTCACTATTAGGGCTCTGATCAGTATGTTGTGTATGAAGGTACCCTAAGGGGCCCGAGCTCGTTTTGCTCCCCAGTGGGCTCGCTGCAAAACGACTGAGCGCAAACAAGTTGGCGACGTGGGCCAGGCCGCCAGGCCCAAAACCCCAAAACCTCACTCAAAGGGTCATAGTAGGCCTCATTTGACCTTGATTAAATCGCATTTCGCTCAATCTTTCGTGGGAGCTGTGGGTTGTTTGTGGGGAATCCTGAGTAATTGGCTGTGTCCAAAATCTGAGTGGCTACAGGGCAAAAGTCTATATTGCTGGTTGGCTACTGGGAAAACACTCATTCTTCCAAAAAGTTGAAGACCAAAGATCCAACCAAACACAGCCAAGAAACAGATACCCTTTTGGGACCACCAACCATCTAGCAACCATTCGCAGATTCTTGGACATTCCCTGTGCGGGTACGTGTCAAAACAAAGGGACCCCAAAAATGGTGGGTGTTCTTGGGTTCCGTTTAAACCAACCTCAAAAATGTACCCTCCAAAAGCACAGATTTCGAATCCATACGAGCCACGTGGTCAAACATACGGAGAGTTCCCCTAACGGATAGGGGAAAATGAGTCGTCCCTGTGTTTTTGCTTGAGAATGTGGTTCCCCAATGTGACCGGATAATAAGCACTTGATATTCAGGTGATTCCCGCCCAAAAGAAAGGAAGCGAAGGGCCTGGGGGTCAGGGGCATCCTACATTCTTTCCATGTGCTCAAGATGCCACCATCACCACCCCACCGCGGTTTTGGCATTTGAGGTTGGCGGCCCACCCACCCACCCCCTCGCCGAAATGGCTCCTTAGGCCCCACCAAATGAATAGTAGATGGCAAGGGTAGGTGAGGGGGATGACTAAACCAGCACGCGGGAATTGCGCCATCTAGTTGTGCCTGTCGATGCCGTTCTTCTCCTTCAGAATTGTTTTCTCTCTTCTTCTCTTTTTTTTGGGGGGGGGGGTGCCTCAGGCATAGGCGTTAAAGACATGCAATATCTTTCTAGAAATTGAAGGGCTCCACAGCCACCGGACAATACACCTCAAGGCATCCGGCAAATACATGGTGAACACACACACACCTTACTAAATTCAGGGGCCTTACAAACCCACCCCCAGACCCAGTACTATTCGGCCTAGGTTGGCTCACTCCCCTAAATTAAGCCTTGGGCCCTTTGGAGAGCGAACTGGGCCTGATTTTCTCCGCCTCGCAAGGCTCACTGCCCCGAACCCTTGGTGCCCGAGGCTCTTGTGCAAAATGGAAATGGAAGGAACATCTTTGGGATTCAACCTCCCGAAAAAGCGGGCTGCTGGAACAATATGTCCACTTTTGGGATAGAAGCCGAAGTCGCCAAGTTGGATCCCGTACATTCCTTCCCAGTGACTTCGGCAGAAAAGACTTGGAAGCACAGCTGTCCTTTTGGGGAAATAGATGGCCCCCCGGTAATTAAACGGAATACACCCAGACTGGCCAACAAAAAAAACCTGGACTCCCATGACAAACCGAAAACGGGGCATCTGACCAACACAAAGAGAAAGTGGAATACACCAAACTCACCACCAAAAACCGGGGGGGGAGAAAAGGGAGACCGCCTATGCTTGGTTTCCCTTTGAGCTCTTTCCTCGGGAAGCAAAAAGGAGCAGCAGCCCGTCGCGTCACGTTCCGCGCGGAATTCGCCTTGGCTTCCTCCAGCTTCTTGAGCTCCACCTCCCGCTTCATGATGTACCAGGCCAGGCCTCGGAAGCGGGAGCTCTGGAGAACTTGCGGATTCGGTGCAAAAGGAGAGAAAGGAGAAATGGCAGGACCCCCCAAAAAACGCCGGGCGACTGGTGGTGTCCCTCAAAAAACACCAGGCGACTGGTGGCTTCCCTTAGATGCACCATCCGACTGGTGGTTTGCTTGTTTTGTTGCTGTAAAACGAGAGGACTTGAGATGGTGCAAGAGCTGCAGGGGATGAGAAATGGAATGACCCTGAGATAAACAATACATCCCCGATTGAGTTTCGTTTAAGGGAATCCCAAGCGGTTCATTCCATTTCTCATTCCCTGAGCACCAGCAAGAGAACCATCGGCGGTTCTTCCGCTTGACGGCCATCTGTCTGCGTGTGCGTTTTGCGTTGATGCCCTTTTTTGGGGTTGGTTTAAACGGAAGCCAAAGCAAACCCCACTCATCTTGGCGGGTCCTATTTTGCCACTTTCCTGTCTAGCTAGCACCAACCACAGGGGCACTATCCAAATTTGGGAGACAAATCAACGGAAACAATGCGGACTGGCTCCTTCTCAAAGGAAAAACACCGTCTTTTCTCGATTTTGCTTGCCGGCTTTGTGGGAGAATAGCGACTCGATCCTTTTGTTTAGGGGGCACCCCTTCTCGGTCGGTTTTGACGGGGAAAAGGGTTCTGCCATGGTCATCCTGGAGAAATAAACCTTGACTTCTCCAGATGGTTCAATCCCCCTGCCTCAAAGTTTGACTGTTTGCTCCCGCGTCACTGTGGTTGGTAAAGATACCGGTCTAACGAGCATCGAACCGAAGAAATCGAGGAACAGGCGAAAGGCCCCAATTGCTTTGGTAGTTGCAGGGGGACAAAAAAAACAGCGGGACGAACCCGCCACAAAGATCATTACGCCGACTTGGAGCGGCGAGTGCAAAGAGGAAAAGGCAAGAAGGCCAGGGGGAGAGAGCGGGGCAGGGAAGAGGAAGGCAAGAGTGCAGACCCTGGCGCGAATTCAGGCACGTGAGATACTGGCAAAGAGTTTGCTCACACGGAATGCAAGGGCGCTAAGACCACCTAGGGAGAGGGCGGCCAGGGAGGATCCGAACAGAATTACTAGCCAAAAAAAAAGCTGGCAGTTGTAGGAAGTGCCCCGCACTAACTGATGCAGCACGCCACTTTGATCAGGCATAGGAACATGTTCATACTTGAGGAAGACAGCCAGGTAGTACAGCTGCCTCCCATTGCTTCCAATGTGCATTCCACACACCGGTCACACAAGGTAACATTGCTTTCATGCTGCAGAGGTTGCATTGCTCGCCGTGCTCGCAGGGCTATTTGCAGAGCCGCCATCGCTGTCAGTTCCGGCATATGCCGAAACAGGCAACTACTGGTGCATGCAGTCCGCCAAACGATGCTTGGGGCACAGGGACCCACTCTAAACCAAGGCAACCCCCACCAAATGAAGGTGCGCAACCCCATTTCTGAGCAAATCCACGCGGCCAAGTAGACACCCTTCAGATTGTCGCATATGTGTGTGGCTCAAACTTAAACAGGAGGGGCAAACCGCAGCTTTTGGTCCATGTTTCCACTTACCAGGGCACCCCATTTTGGTATTCCGGTTTTTTGGATTTTAGCCCATGTTTCCATTTACCAGGGGCTCCATTTTGGGCACCTATTTTTGAGCCACAGCCATATCCGACTCGCAACCCAATCCGGGCTCCGGGCTCTCCTGGTCTTGGTGGATGCCTTTCAAGGACCGCAGCTCGCGGCGCCCAAAGTCGAACTTCACCTCGAAGTCTTCGGTTTTTTCGGGTCGATCCCGGGCACCCCCCCCCCCCAAGCGTTAAGGCCTTACTTGGCCGTATTTGCATGAAGCGAGAAACACCGGGGGGGGGGGGTTGTAGGGTCCCTAAGCGAAACAGGCAGAGGGCCTTGCTATTTGCAGCAGCTTAAAAGCTAGTCGGAGCACTGAGGAGCCACCCAGCCCACTGCAAAGTCACCCCTGTCGCCAAGTTTGGGGTCCCACCTGATGGCCAGGAGAAAAGTTCTAGACTTGTTTCCCGCCAAAACGTCCTAGGTATCAAGTGTCAGCACTTGGAAAGTGGGAATACGGCGCCAAAAACCAAACCCTCAAGAGTGATCTTCCAGGTCCCATGCTGCGACATCGTGGGAAATATACCCCGAAATCATTGAAGTGGATCCAACCATTCGACTTTCTCACTTTGAAGAAACCTCATCTTTATCCAACAAATTGTCCATCATCATAGCATCCTTTGCATCCCATGCAATGTCTAACGTCAGGATTGAAATGTAAAAAAGAAAGAAAGAAAGAAAGAAAGAAAGAAAGAAAGAAAGAAAGAAAGAAAGAAAGAAAGAAAGAAAGAAAGAAAGAAAGAAAGATGATGATGATGATGATGATCATGATGATCACCAAAGGAGAGAGATGATGATGATATTTGATAACTATCATCATAGCATCATTTGCATCAATATGATGATAACTATCATCGTAGCAAACGAGATGATGATTAGGATGATGATGGTCACCAGAATTATGTTGGTAAATATCATCATAGCATCCTTTGCATCCCAAGCAATGTCTAAATGTGTATATATATATAAGATATAGGAAAAGAAAGAGGTGATTATGTTTTGTGCTATGATAATGATGATCACCATCATGATAATGCTAACTATTGTCATAGATTCCTTTGCATCATCATCATCATCATCATCATCATCATCATCATCATCATCATCATCATCATCATCATCATCATCATGATGATAACAACATCGTAGCAAAAGAGATGATGCTTATGATGATGATGATGATGATGATGATGATGATGATGATGATGAGGAGGAGGAGGAGGATGATGATCGCCATCAAGATGATGATAACTATCATCAAAGTTCAGGTTTCGATGAGGCCAGACGGTACAAGTCCCGAATGCGTCGAATCCGTCTATTCTCTGCGGGGAAACAGCCTCGAGGGGCGTCAGCACTCTATTGCCAGGAAATGCGCTCCGCTACTTCTCTCTCAATACAGCTGCTGCTTCCAATGCATCCCCATGTGTAGCAGCGAACCGTGGGCGGCATCTTCGCATATCGAGACAGACTGAACGTCTCATGGGCCAAGGTGTGGAAGTCAGAAGTGTCGACAGCCAGTCGATGCGGACTGCAACTTCCTGTTGCCTCGTAATAGCCACGTTTGGCGGCTTTTCTGTGGTATGACAAGTCCACCTGAAAGCCACGTGCAGCCAGCGCAGCTTCCATTTTCCGAAACCAATATTCCTGCAGTCACTCTATACCCCCGCAGTACGGTCAAGGATCAAGCTGTGATTGAACAAACAAACAATGGGCATGATGTGGTCATTTCGAATCCCCCGCTCTCTATCCGGGCATTCTGTTCACAACGGATGAGACGACTGGCAGCTATGCGTACCCAGAAAAGTGCAGTTCCAACCCAAGAAACTTGGACACCGGGCCCCGATGTTGTTGGGTTCTTTTTCGGCGTGTTTGCGCATAGGTTCCTGTAGCTTCGTTTCTCCTTTGGGGGAAACCAAAAGGCCATCAAAACAAAACAAAGGCCATCAAAACAAAACCGGGGGAAAGCAAAAGGCCATCAAAACAAACGATCTTCCCGGCCATGAACCGGCCTCTCACTTTCGAGGTTTCTAGTGGCAACCGCAAGCACTAGCTTCCCAACAGCTGGTGGGTCACAGCGTTCTTTGACCCTCACAAAAACCAACAGAACCAAAAAATGCAAAATACAAAAGCACTGCTCACGAAACACACAATCATTCACAAGCAAAAGAAACAACACAACTCCGAATATAGGAAAATCTACCTAAAAATGAGTTCAAAAAAAAAAACTAAATCAAATCAATCAACAAACCGGACAAGCTGAGCCGAGTCACAACCGAAACATGGCAATAAAAGAGTCTGACCAAAACTATGCAACGAATTAAACAAAAAAAGCGTGGCGTACTGAAGGAATCTACTCAAAACCATAAAGCCATGGTTTGCAAACTCAACGTTTGGCGAATTGTGCCTCACCTATGGTTGGGATGGCTCAACCGGCTCAGTTGGGCGAGCCCTGATTGAAGACCCCCTTGTGACAGAAACCAGAGGAAAACCAACCATTTGGAGGGCTCCGATTACTTTATGTCTGCCCGGTATCATTTGAAGCTGCAGGTTTGAATTGCAAGGGGTAAAGCATTTCCATGTTGATCGGCGCCGATTTGCTTTGAACCCAAGTCAAAGACTATGATGAAAGGTCCACCAGCAAGTGTCATCCTCTGGTTACAAAAGATCCTCTGTCTTTACTTGGCTGGAATTCGGACCCCAGGCAAAAAAACAACTGGTTAGTGGAAAATCAAGGGGATCCCACAAAAGCAAACCATGAAAAAGGGGAGCTAACTCTGGGGAAGTTTCAAGCTTTTTGACCCCCAGGCTTGATTCCTGATCGAGCCGTCGAGCCCAGAATCCAGGTCTGGAGCGATCCGGGAGGGTAGCGAGGGCAGGAGCGGCGAAGGTTTTTTTGTTCCCATGCTAAGACCAGCAAAACAACCGAGGGCAAACGAGTGGCTTGGAAGAGAACGATGGAAGGAATGGACCAGGAATTGCAGAAGCCAACCGGGCATTCTGGCAAAAAACATCGTATAAACACCTGCCCAGAACGAGGATGTCTTGTCGCATTTCCCGGTTTTGATGGTTGCTTGGAAGGAGACACGTGGTCCAAAGTCGCTTGCCTTCTCCGCCTCCCTGGCTCGCATTAGCGCCATCTCCTGCGAATCGGGGAGGGATTTGAGTCACAATCAAAACCCGGTACAAAAATGGTCGACCCAGAACCGTGTAACGACATACGCGGCCGCAACTATTTATGGCTGGGATTGTCCCTTACTAACCTTCACTTACCGGGTTTTGATTGTGGCTCATTTGGTGTTTTGGTGATCCGCAATTCCCACCTGGGTTCAAAATGGGGGGAGGGATCCCGAATCCTTATCTGTAATCCCTAACACCACTACAACATGGTGAACCACCACCATCTCGCATAAGGACTCAGGAATGACTTTGAACCAGGTAAGAAAGACAACACTGAATTCTTGAATAATAATAGAGCGGCAAAAACGCAAAACGATACCCATCCCATCCCCATGCTTCCCAAATCACGGCCCAGACTGGCCCAGACTGATGGCTTACGGGAATCGAAGCGGCGATCCCGGTGTCAGATAGAGGATTCTTTGCGGAGAAAAGTCGCACAAACCCAACCGATCACACTTTGCTATCCTGGATCTTGCCCTCGGTCTCTTCCAGGATGCGGTCAATGTCGTAGGTTTCCTGGCAAGCAAGCGCCGTCAAGCGCAACCAAGCAGCCCTCATAGAGCGATTTGCTTGCTTGCTTGCTTGCTTGCTTGCTTGCTTGCTTGCTTGCTTGCTTGCTTGCTTGCTTGCTTGCTTGCTTGCTCGCTGGCTTGCTTGCTTGCTTGCTTGCTTGCTTGCTTGCTTGCTTGCTTGCTTGCTTGCTTGCTTGCTTGCTTGCTTGCTTGCTTGCTTGCTTGCTTGCTTGCTTGGAGAGTCGCCCACACGGATCCTCATTGGGGATTGGGTCAGTCCCCGTCCATACAGCCAGCGAAACCTCCTTGTTTGTTGTGTGTTTGGCAAGCTAGGAATCCTGGGCTCGCGTAAAGCACGTCTGGACCAACAAACCACCAGGCCGCCATCCACAAACCAATCAAGGGTAAGGCGTTTTGAATTCAGAAGAACACAACTGGCCAAAACATGAGGCACCGGAAATGGCTGGGTTCCCTTAAGCGTCATCTAAAGGGGCCGCTATGGGGTCCCCAATGTTTGGAAAACACGCCGAGCTGATCCAACGCTCTCCCTCACACAGCCATGCCAAAAAAAACATACGAGTTGCCAAAAAAGGCGACGCAATGCTTCTACTGGCCGTTGTCTTGTGTTTTTATTGTTCTGAATAGGGTTGTTGACCTCCTAAATTGGATTTGCTGGGTTCAGAACCCCAATTACAACGAAACTCCGCGGTGGCCAAGACAAGCTAATCACAGGCCATGGCGTCAAGCCAGCTCCAAGTAGGATCCTTAGGGACACCGCCGACCGAGTCCCCATATGTCTCCTCAAAACATCGCCCCTACCAAAGGAAACTCACCTTTGGACTCCAATGATGATGTGTTTTTCTAACCCACCGTTGTGTGGAAATGTAGGGCAACCTGGATGTGAGCGGATATATATATATATATATATGTATATATATATACACGTATCGGTTAGACTATGTTTGTTGATTATATATATATATATATATGTGCTTATTTACTGTTCATTTGTTTTGTTTCTGTGTGCTTGTTTTGTCATTTGTTGGCTGTACCGCGGTATACCCATATTTTCCCTTGGGGAACCGACGTGTCCCTGAATTCGGAGACCGCTCCTTGCGCTTTCTCTCGAGCTCCTCGCGCTGAGTGCTCTTCTCCTGAGAGAAAACTCAAGTCGAGCAACGTCATTCGTAGCCGGGTGTCCCGGCATTTGGCTGTGGGTCAAAAATAGGTACCCAAAATGGAACCCAGGTAAAAGGAACCAAGGACTAAAACCTGCGGTCCCCTGGTGGTTTAATTTTGACACGTACCCATTTCACTTTGGAGTCACCGGCGTTGACCACGACCCAAAAACGCCTGTCTGAGGATTTCGATCTGGGACTAAGCCTGAAGCGTCTGGGAAACCAAAGGCATGCGTTCCATCAGAGGTCAGTTTGGGAACATAGATGGCACTGGAAAATGCTGAGGACGTTTGAACAAGGGGTTTGGCCCAAGCCGAGTGCATTCTTTTGTGAATGCACCAACCACACCACTAAACCGCACGCTGAAGTCAACTACAAGGTTTCCCCTACTTGCAACGTATAGGGCATTAAACATACCTTTGACACGCTTTCTGTGGAATCCAGAGACCCCCCTTTAAAGACGCCACACTTTCGGAGGTTCCCTTTCCGTCCTTGCCGCAAAACGTGTTCTCCCTTCAAAAAAGGAGCTAGGATAATTCTTGAAGGCCTCATGTAAGGTTCCCCTAGACCATAAGAGGGATCCACCAGTTGCCATGCTTCCCCCACAAATTCTCCGCATAACTTGGACCCTCTGACCCCCCTCTTCCGGACGGCCTTGTTCGGCCATTGGCAACGTTTTAAAGCAACAGTTCTCCAAACGAACTCCTGTTTGGATTTTTTGTAAAGGGAACCAGGTGGTTGTTTCCTTGTTGATCACGGCGTGATTAGACTTTGCATCAGCCAATGCAGACACACACGCAGACCGACACACAGCCCGCGCGCGCCGCCCGTGCGCTCGCCGTTCGTCGTCCGTGCCGGAACCTCTGTGCACACGCCGTCCTTGCGCACGCTGTCCATGCACAGGACGTTTTTCTCGCGCAAACAGACTGACCACATAAGTAGACGGACATACGCCGAAGTTGTCTTGTCACACGAAGCCACCAGACTGTTCTTGCGTCAATTTGCATTGGCTTGAGTCGATAGACATGTTCAACAGAAGAACAAGAAGCTCGGACAGGCGTAGTCTTCAACTTGTGTAGACAGAAGAGCCGCTCAGACAGGCAAGAACGGCGGCCGAGAAAGAGCTAGCTGCGCGGGAAGTGTGGCAGCACGGGTGCTGCTCTCTACTGGGAAAGGCAGAAAATAAGATACACATGCTGCAAAACACGGCATGCGAGACAATGCCTCGATTTGCCACTCTTGAAAGCGCACTGGCAATTGCCAAAGGTTTGGTTTTGGCCAATGCAATGATGGTGTTGCGGGGCCCCACGGTCGCTAACGGCGCCGTGACCTTGTTTCAGCTCATTTTGGTCAACAACCCCTCGACACGCCCCACACCCCACTAATTTGTGCATGAGAGATTGTTCCTCCAACGATGGGGGTTGTCTGCAGTATGGAGGCAGGAGGCCCTTTGGGTCCGCGCGTCGGAGAACGTTTGAAGAGAAACGGCTGATAAATGTGATTCTTCCCCCAGTGTTCCGCGGTCCTTCTCAGACCTTCGAAAACATGTCTGGGCCCCTTCTCGCCAGGTTCTCTTCCAAAAAAATATGGCGTGGTCTTCCCTGGAGACCAGTAACAAATATGTGGTTCCCCTTCGTGCTACCCTCTCACCAACAAACATGGATCTACAAAGATCCCTTTTGCCAAACACCATGTTTGTTGGTGGGAGGCCGAGCGGGGACTTCGTGGAACAAACAAGAAAAAAACACTTGCAACACTTCACTCATCAATGGCAACCAGCTCAAACAGTGCCAAACTCAGCCTGGAGGTGGCCCACATACTTGTATCCAGGAACCAGCAACCAGCCCATCTGCAGGGCCCGAACAACTTGCTGGTGCGATAGGCAGGAATGAGAAATGGAATGACCCCTGCAAACCATTCTTTGTGGTTTCCTTTAAGGGAATCCCCTTCCGGTTCATTTTCAAGACCCTGAGTCATTCCCTACTGAATAACTAGAACAGGGTTGCGGGGGTAGAGTAAACTGAGCCATGACTAGAGGAGTAAATTATGTTTGTACTCTTATACCCCCCTCGACAACATGGTTTGGTGCACAGACCCCTTGTGTCTCAAAAGAAAGTAGTCTTCCAAAACAACTGTGTGGTTCATTGACCCCTTGCCAAAAGTTCAATTTTTCGTAATACGTGGCAAATCTCTCTAAGCTAAAAGTCCAAAAGCAAAAACTAAGGAGCCCTATGGCTGGCAGCCGAGAAAAGGGGCTGTGCACCAACCCCATGTAACCTGGTGTCAGCCCCACAGCTCGGCCTGGATGAAGCTAAAGATGTCCTAGGCAAGATGCCAGGGATCCATTTCCTTTATCCTTGCATGGTTCTAGGGGTTTCTTCCGGGAAAACCACGGGCGCTTTTTGGCGGTTTTGGGCGTTGTTGGGAACATCCGGAATCTTCCCCCAAATTCCAGGGGTTGATTCCCTGTCCATTATTTTCAATCATCGTTCTTTTCAAAAGCCGATCGCTGTTTCCCCAGGGGTGTGGGTGGTTTCTTAGAAAGAAGGATGCCTGGAACGAACGGGGAAGGTACCCCTAGAATGGTGTAAACTCGTTCTGGATGTTTCTCAAAATAGTGGTCCACTGAAATTGGTCGGTCTCCTTTTGGCTTGCCTTCCAAATACCAACCGAAAGACCAAAACATCGAGGGGTCCACACACACGTCCGGTCAAAAGTATTCTTGACCATGGTTCCCTCGGGAAACCTTAGGGCTTGTGACTAGGGATGGACATGAATCCCAGCAATTTAAGCAATGCGTGTAAGGGTTCCTGGGCAAACCATGATCCACAAGTAGAAAACTGACTTCCTAAATTGCTGAGTTCATGACCATCCCTAGTCACTAAACCCCTAGGGGGATAAGACACTACGCCAACTGCCGCCTGTGGCTTATTTGGCAAGCTATCTTCTCCTCGTTCCTGTTGCGGATCAAACCGCAACATAAAAGGGCAATATAATTCACCGACAAAAAATGATGGAATCCCTTATTAAGGGATCTTCATCGTGAGTGAGCTCTTGATAATCGTTCATGTGTGGCCCTTGTGGAATTTGCCGGGGAAACAAAGGGCATTGGGGTTCCGTCCACCCCTCTCACCCTTCTCACATGAATGAAGGATACAACGCCAAAGCAGGTCCCGTACTTACCTGTATCTAGTCCTGGTGGGCGATTGAATGTGGCTGGTTGGTAAGAGTCTCATTTGTTGGTTACAACAGCAGTTTTGCTCCCGTACTAAAGGGTAGAAAGTTGGCCCAAGGAAAGCAAAAAGATATAACGCCAAGTTTCCCTCGTGGTTTGATCATTTGAAGGGTCTAAGCAACCCTGCCCAAGGCTACCTTGGGGGGAATCACAATCAAAAAAGAGATAGGGGCTCCCATCATTCTGCAAGCGTTGAAATAATGTCTGGGTGTGTCATAAACCTCCTCCAGCTGCTGCTTCTTTGCCCTAGACAGCGATGAAGAAAGTTGAAAGATTACCCTCCTTCCAAAAAAAGTGGACAGAAGGGCTCAGGAAGACTATCATCTTGACACGAGCTGTCCACTGCCAAGGTCAAAGGCAAAGCCAAAGCCAAACAGCGACCAAGATACCAACACCTGACGTATTTGTATCCCCGAATCCCATGCTTCACGAGGGTGCCCATCGAATCAGCTGGCAACCGTGATGTTGAACATGGACAACATGTGTGCCATGGCCAAACTCCTTATGTTGGCCAGGGGCATGGTTCTGTTAGTGGGTATCCTCATCATGGCTGCTGATGTTCCCTACAAAGGGGTCCACAACCATCTCCAACCACAAGTAAAGGGGTGGTTTGCCCAGATCGCTCTGGGGGGTGGGGGTCAAGGCAGTCGTGCATTTGAACACGGTTCTAAGACTGTCATCCCCGTTTAAAGCAAAACCGCCTCGGCTTGAGGGACAACCAAAGAAGGCAGATTTCAAGAAGAGCGCTAGGGTTGGTACCAGAATTCCGCTCCCAAACAACCAGACACTGGAAAGCCCCTCAAATTCACCCCACGACAGACACCCCTTGAAATCGGGCCCAAAAGGTACGTGTCAAGCCCAAAACGGGGGAACAATCCACTGAGCTCAGAGCACAGGATTCGAACCCGCCCCCTAAACTCCGAACCTTGCCTCCGCCCTCTCCAGCGCCCACTTCCTGGTGTCCTCTGGCAACAGCCTGAGCGACAAGCGAAAGGGAAACCAAGCTGAAAAGCAAAAGGACGCGAAAAACAGAATTTGGAGCACCTGGAAAGCCAAAGTAAGCCAGGAAACCCAACACCCGGAGAGCAAAAAAGGGAAACCTGAAGGCAAGCAAGCACATGGAAGGCAGAAGGAAGCCAAACAAAACCAACAGACTGCAAGGACAAAAGCGCTCCGGTCCGGTGTCTCGTGTGGAATCACCATGTTTTGAATAGGCCTTGGGAAGCCAGCGCGCGCGTCCCTTCTGGTTCTCCGATTCGTTGGACAGAGGAAGAATCAGGCACATAACTTGCTCATCCGATTCGTTGGAACGCTGAATCCAACCTACGACTCGATTTCCTGGGACAGTCTCTCCGGTCAAACCAGCGACCTGAGAACCAGCCACTCACAAGGATGCTCAACTTCCAGGCTCGACTCTGGCCACTTTGGCAAAGCTCGCCCCGGAGATCCGGAGCCTTGAGGGGCTCCCGAAGTCCCTTGAGAGGGACCAGCCCACATTGGATTGTACACACCCACGAGGGAGGGAAATGACTGGGTAATAGGGTAAACCTGGGTTCACTCGGTTCTTCTTTACTGGAAAACCGCTGGTCCATAGTGACACTCTCCAAATTGCCATCGGGCCATCTCTCAACGAAAGGCTCACTTGAGACAGAATCAAAACCTGGTATTAAAACCGTCTGCCCAGAACCACGTGAAAGAATTAAGAAGGCGGCCGCACCCATTTCTGGCTGGGATTGCCCCTTACTACCCTCCAAACACCCGGGTTTTGATTGTGACTCACTTGGCTTTGAGAGGGGTTGCAGGATCCCTGAAGTACCTCTTGCTCCTCAACGGCAACATCGTCGCTTCCCAGAGAGTTCAAGCCCAAAAAAAGATCCAACCAAACTGTGTGGTTCTCGCTCCAAGTGCGAAAACAGTTCCACTGCTTGTTGGTTTGGACAATACGTCATGCTTTCCAAAAAAAAAAAGTCTTAAGATCCAACCGGAATAGCAGGCTACCTTTGGAAAGTTTGGTCCGCCCCATTCCCAAGTCCCAGATTCGCCTCAGTCTTTCGCCATCTTCCCAAGAAGACGTGCATCCCCCGCCCCAAACTGACACCGGGCGGCTTCCAGTTAGGCTCGGAAATCTCCTGAGACACGCCCTCGTCCAGCCTGGCTCTTGAGAGATTTTTTCTCGTGTGTCACTCGGACTTCCTCGGCTTTGTGCATTGCTTTCTTTTTTTTCTTTTCGGTTCTGCGAGAATTCCCAAATCCTGCGGAATCTTCGATTTGAAGCCAGCTGAAACCCATGGTGACATGGGCAGTGTTGGACCCCTTTTTATGAATGGGGCTCCTATGATAGAAAGTATTCCCACAGTCAGGATCTTGGGATTGTTTCGGGTGCTCTGGTATAGAAAGTTGTTTCAGGGGGGGAAGCAATTCTAAGTTAGAATCGGCAATACTCAATTAAAAATTTGGAATCTGAGATTGAGTCTTGGCGATACTAAAAACTAGAACTGGCAATACAAGACTAAGTATTGGCAAGTCCAACTCCAACCTCCTCAAAAACCACAAGCGCGTTCAAATAACTCATCTTTCACCCATCCCAAACAATTATTTGATAGATTCGATGGCCATACGGATATCCATTGTCACACTCTCTCGCGCTGAAAAAGGAGACATCCACCCAAAGGCGCATCAATGGAACCTGGATTTTCAACCGGCGTCACATGGTAAGGGGACTACCCCGAGTTGCCCTTGACCCCAAATTAATCAACCCCAGTTTATGAATAAGGGGGATGTCTCTGGAAATCATCCCTATGGAGGGGCCAAAACTACCCCCCTATGAATAAACTGGGGTTGATCACTATGGCCATGGGTCAAAATCCAAATCGTATCCCCAGTGAACATCCGATTCAATCCAACCACTAAAATAGGAAGCCTAAAATGGGTGGTGAATTCACCTACCCTTAAAATGGGATCAACCAAAACGGTGTTGACAACGGCCATATCAAAGTTCAGTGGGTTGAAGCTCCAGGTTTGGCGAGCGGACTCGCCATAAGGTCCGAATGACCCCAGTCCCGATCCACGAGTCACGGTGCTGCTCTTGCAAGTCAGCTCTGAAGCATACCAGAAGGAAAGTCGTCAGGGGCTGCTAAAAATCCCTAGAACTCAACCCCGAAAGGAATGGTTGACCCAAGTTAGATGATGAAACTCCTTAGGTGATTAACGGTGGTTATATCAACCAAACCATTGTGAGACTGGTTTAAATCGCAGGGGTCTTTATGCAATCAGTTCGCCCCTATCTGCTGCTTGGTTTGTCCTGGCCAATTTAAGTTGTTCCCCCCCCAAATCAGAAGCCCCAGAGATTTAGTGGGGTGAGCCATTTTGTTTCGCTACTTGCTGTAAGGGTATGTACCCTGATTTCTTTGCGGGTATTGGTTTGGGACTGAGTAGTGAAAACCATCTGAGGTATACAACCACTACATGGAACCAATACATGATGTGGATCTTTTTGCGGGAACCCCCTCAAAAGTGGTCGACATAAATCCCCACCTCAAAGATGCATGAAGGGTCGCCCTTGAAACTTCACAACCCTAGCAAGGATGTGGGTGTTGATCAAAAGGTCCTTTACATGGACCATTGGGGAAAACCACTAAGAAGATTCGATATTTCCCACTAAATGGGAGGAAGTTACCATCATGGTCAAAACTGGGGGCCGAAAGGAATATTGATCAACCCCCGTCGTGAAATGCACCGACCGGTTTGCCCTTAGTAACTTCGCTTCGGAGACCTGCCTCTCTGCCACCGAACCCATGGGGGTGTCACCTCGCAGGGATCAGCGTTGCCAGACTTAGGCCTGCAAAAAGCTATTTGCTTTTGTTGGAAAGGGAAAATGCTGGAAAACAAACATGCAACTTATTGAAGGAAGCCAGTGAAGTCTGGCAGTGATGAGTGGTGTTTTACATAGCGATATATATATATATATATATATACACATGTGCCGTGCAACACATGGTCTGTGAGTGGTATAGACATGGTATTAAAGAGGTACGTATATAGGACTATGTATCGTTTATACATTTAGTCATCTATTCATGTATGTAGCGCCTCCATTTAGATTCACTCAGTTCGCAGCAGCCGGAAGTCAGGCGATGTGAAGCGGAAGGCGCGCAGAAATGGGTCACAACCAAAGCCAAGACCATCTTCAAGGAATTGCTCCTGCAGATTAACATGGAACTCAAACAACCATCATACGGTCATACGGAATCATACGTCTAAAAAATGCGAAGACCCCGTTCGGTTTCATGCTTTTATGGGGAGTACATGGCGGAAAGTCGCTAAGTATTATGTAAGCATTTATCGCGAGGGGTAAAGCTGGGCTGGTTTTCAGGCCTTTTACCCTTCGTGTTGAGCGGCATATACCCCTAAAAGGCTATGAACAATATTTGCTTCCGAACATTGGGAACTGCAGTTCCGTGGATTCCCTCACACAAATCTTAGGTACGACAAGAATTCGAGAACTGTTCAAAGCTGGAACTACAAAGGCAAATTCTGAAGCCCTTTGGCGGGCGTCATTTAGGAGGGGTTTTATGTCCACCCATCATTTGAGGAGATTCCCTTTTGGCACTTGCACAGAATATGATCCACAATCCCGCAAAGTGGGAATCCCGAGCCCTGGAATCTTTGGTCCCAAAAAGTCCAAACCCACTTCCCCAGCCTCTCCTTCCAGTGGAGCCGGTTTTTCCATCCAGGTCCAAACCACTGCGCTTTCCCGGCAAGCGGAACGGAGGCGGCTGGCCTCCGCCCCGGCTGGCGGTGATGGGCGAGGTCATGGACCTTGGACGCCACCCGACATGCTCCAAGCCACCGGGCTCCAAACGGAGTTCGGAAGGCTCAACAAAGACTCCTTCGGTTGCGGTGTTTTGCCACTTTTTATGAGCCACAGAAAATTTCAAGGAAGCTGATAGGTTTAGAGCCCGGTCCAATACAGATCATTGCCCTTGGCCTTTCGGACCTAACTAGAAGGTCTTTTGGGTCCCAGTTGCCTCGGAGATCTTAACCGGAGCTTCACCAGTCTGATCCAAAAACACCTTCGTCTCAGCCCCTACCACCGCCACCCGCACCCAAAGAAGTCTTTGGCTGACGCGTGGGTCCTGGTCTATGAACCTGATTCAATGCTTTAAATTCTCCACCCCCAGACCCCCAGTGGCCATGGAAAACAATGGGCACTCTGTTTTTTGGAGCAAAATGCTTGTTATGACCCCTACTGTGTGGCTTGCTTTGGTGGCTTGGACGTCAGGGGGCGCCCTCCCCAGTTGGCTTCACAAGCAAGTGAGGTTCAAACCCGCAAACCACCAATCCAACCACCAAGCAAGGGGTACCTGATGAAATCCCCTCCCCCCCCCCAAAAAAAAAAAAAATGAAAAAGTAGGAACAAACACGAAGATGCAAGATACCTCCAACAAACACGAAGGATGGCGTTTTCGTGCGTGCGCGTGGTTTTGGACAACACGAAGGATGGCAATTTGTGTATTCTTGGCAGGCGAACCGGGCGAACCCGTTTTTGGGCTGGGATCACGGCCCAAGGGCTGAGCAGTCCCGACTCGATGTCCGTGGGTTTTGGACCACTACCCCGAACCACAACGGGGAAATATTGGTATACCACTACATGGCCAGTAAAAAAGGGGACATAACATTTTTTTAAAAAAAAAATGATACATCCCACTACTGATATATCCCATACAATCCACCGGTCCAGCTCCATCTCCCCTTAAAGGGTGAAGTTTGAAAGATCACCTATTGGGCCAAAGGGTGGGGTGAGTCTTTGCAGGTGAAAATATGGGAACTCTTTGATCGAATTCAGCTTTGGCCAATCCAAATGCACACGACCAGAATCCAAAGGCCCCATGTTTGACCAGCATCCTAGGGCTCAATTTTCGATTCCTTCCTTCATCCCATGTGGCAAACCACTGCAAAGGGACCTGTCGCGTAACCCATATATTAGCCCAGCTGTTGGGGTCGGGAGATGCCACCCAACCTGAGCTGACGCAGTGTTTCTCTCCAATCCTACGCATACGCGTGCCTCCAGCAGCTTATGGGCTTCTCGGTTTCACCAGGGCATGTATGCATGTTATGTATGTATGTATGTATGTATGTATGTATGTATGTATGTATGTATGTATGTATGTATGTATGTATGTATGTATGTATGTATGTATGTATGTATGTATGTATGTATGTATGTATGTATGTATGTATGTATGTATGTATGTATGTATGTATGTATGTATGTATGTATGTATGTATGTATGTATGTATGTATGTATGTATGTATGTATGTATGTATGTATGTATGTATGTATGTATGTATGTATGTATGTATGTATGTATGTATGTATGTATGTATGTATGTATGTATGTATGTATGTATGTATGTATGTATGTATGTATGTATGTATGTATGTATGTATGTATGCATGCATGCATGCATGCATGCATGTATGTATGTATGTATGTATGCATGTGTGCATGTATGCATGTATGCATGCATGTATGTATGTGCGTGTGTACGTACGTAAGTGCGTACGTACGTACGTACGTACGTACGTATGTACGTATGTACGTATGTACGTATGTACGTATGTACGTATGTACGTATGTACGTATGCACGTATGTACGTATGTACGTATGTACGTATGTACGTATGTACGTATGTACGTATGTACGTACGTACGTACGTATGTACGTATGTACGTATGTACGTACGTATGTGTACGTACGTAAGTGCGTACGTACGTACGTATGTACGTATGTACGTATGTACGCATGTACGTATGTAGGTATGTACGTATGTACGTATGTACGCATGTACGTATGTAGGTATGTACGTATGTACGTATGTACGTATGTACGTATGTACGTATGTACGTATGTACGTATGTACGTATGTACGTATGTACGTATGCACGTATGTACGTATGTACGTATGTACGTATGCACGTATGTACGTATGTACGTACGTACGTACGTATGTATGTATGTATGTACGTATGTATGTGTGTATGTCTATCTTCATAGTATCCTATATATATATATACGTAAGCCTCATATATATATATAATTATATATATATACATATACATACGCATATGATTCTCCACAAGTACAATCTGCCAACCTCCAACTGGACAAGCGTGAAGCTGGGCACACCCGGCGCATCATCTCCTTTCAGGGGTCGGAAGTCGCAGAGTCGCATCCAAACAGTCACGAGCTATACGACGTTGCCCCCAAACTCTGGGGTACATCTCAGATTCTGCTTCATATTTAGCTTACTTCAGTATATTTACAAACAACAAAACATGGAGGCTATGGAAATAATTGGAGTTCTTAGAAGGGTACTGCGACCCTTCTGGTGGGTAGGGGACCAAATGACTAGCATCTGCCGGTGCAATGTCTCGTTTCGCTTGAAGTGGAGACCGATTCTCGGGGTGGGGGGGGTTCTCAAAGGAGAACCTGTCCTGCTACCCCCGGCTGTTGGGAAACACGAGTTTTGACCGAGGAGAAGAAAGTGTTCCTCTGGCTTTTTTCTTCTGCGCTTTGGGGCAGGAAGTCGGCACCCTAACTGAGCCGGACAGATTCGAGCCGAAGGTCAACTTGCTTGAAGGGGAGAATGGAGGAAAACCAAAAAGGGAAAGGGTTCACAGGAAAAAGGTGAAGAAATAGACAAGGCAAAGCAAGGGGCTGGCCTGGTTCGGGCGCATTTGGCCCCAAGGCCCTGACCTGTTTTAACAAAAGGCCCTGACCGGTCACAATCCGACTGTGGCCAAGCGCCTAGGCGCATCTTTGTTTTGAGTCAGGGGCTAAAGAAGTAGAACCGGTACCAAGTCATGAAGTAGGAGAAAACTATTGGTCCTTATTTCACGCCTGAAAATGGGGGGGGGGGGGGGCGAAAGAAAGAACAAAAGTTCAGTCATGACAGGAGTAGACTATGTTCCTTACTTCACCTGGTATTCTGTCGGGCTCTGGGATGGCCTACAGGCAACTGAGGCCTTCTTCGCTTGACCGCACCCGCCTTCCGTTGGGTCTGGCACCACATCCGCTTCAAAGTCCACCTGGCCGTGTTGAATGGAGAGTAAGCCGTCGTGGGTGACCTCGCCGGAACAGGCACTTGGCCCTTTTAGTACGGCATTGTCCTTGCCCCTGTGCTTCGGATGTTTAATTTGACACAAATGGTTGGTTTCCTATGGTGGCTCGGGGCAGCTCCTTAGGGACCCAATCCGCCAAAGACCCACCCCGACTTCATAAGGCTTATGAAGCCCCTAACCTTGGGGGTGTCTTTGGGCCGGGGGGGGTTCTTGAAGGTCCCGGCAGGGTTGTCCTTTTGAGACGACGGAGGCTTTGGATGGGTCATAGGACATCATTGTGAGCTCGTTGTACCCCCAAAGCTCGCCAGGTTTAATCAACCCCCGATTGATTATGATTGGAGAAAATAGAGGGCAACAGAAACTAGCTGCAAAAGAAGAATACCATCAAACTCCTTAGTCATTTACTTCTTCAGAACGAAACGTTGGTAAACTACCGAACTAAAGCCACTTGTTTCGGCCAAGACAGAATAAGAAGTCAATCTTTGTCTGAAGAAATCATCGGCGCATCGCCACCCTTTTTGACGCTCGGCCCACGAGTTTGACGTTGATAAAGCCAGTGGTTTGCGGTTGTCTCCCTTCAGAAAACATGCCGCGAACATGGGCGTCAAGCGATTCGGTTCCTCAGGTGAGGGGAAGGTTGCCCTTGTCATCCATGGCTCATCTTTGCGCAAGCTGTCCTCGACTCGCACCCCTTTAGACAAAAAGCAGGGCGAGGTAGGAACTTTGGCGTGTTCCTTCTCAGCGCCACGCTTCTTGCCCCCCCCCGCGTTTGACGCCACGTCACTACTGGCGTGACTTTCCTGAGTACCTTACTGTTCAATCCTCAAGTTGATTCATGGCAAACAAAGTGAGTCAGCCAGTTGTGCGAGTATATGGCGCGACCTGACTGAAATGCAAGTGTGTCCGACTGAAAGGTCGAATTTGTCTGTTTGTCACTAAGTAGTTACCAACAACAAACATTCTGTCACAAACAGTCTGTCATTCCTATAAGCGACATGGTAAAAGCAAGTAAAACACCTTTTAATTGCGCTCAAGGGCTGCCTGTCAGCTTGGCTTTGCCAGCGCACCTTGCCATAGAACCTGATTGGAGGTGCCTCTGGCAGAGTGCCCTCTAGCACCCCTCCACCCCCACCCCCCCACCCCCCCAAAACAAAGGATAAAAAAAAGCAAACCAGCTCCCTTCGAAACCCGGGCAAATCGGAACATTCTCAGCAGGTCGTTGCGCCTTTTAAAGCCCAGCGGAAAAGCATCCATGACACCTTCGGCCAAACACGAGGGGTGGAACCCGTGGCTCTTCTCACCTTGCCCATATTTGCTGGTTTGGTTTGGTGGCTTGGTTTGGTTTGGTCGGGTTTGGTTTGGTTTGGTCTGGTTTGGTTTGGTGGTTTGGTTTGGAAGTTAGCGGTACCTTCCCCATTTCAAGTCCCCACACCACCAATCCAAACCACCAATGAAGGGATACCTGAAACACGGACTTCCTAACACGCTGAAGGCTAGAAACTTGGGACTTGAGATACAGCTGCAGCCCGAATCCACGCAAGGCGCGGAGTCCACCTCTACCATGGCGGCCGGATGGTCCCGCTTCATGAAGCTACTGATGCTGGACCTGGCAATGGCATCTGGACACGGCTGCCGTCCCCCCCATTTTTTGCACAGGAGTCTCTGCATCGAAGTTGCCAAATTCCCACCAAAAAATAGAGGTTTTCCTGTGCAAAAGACAACAGCTGCTTTCAGGGACAACAACCATCCCGCATTTGGCGCTCATAAAGCTTATCAACCCCGAATTTTGGGGTCCCTCATGTGGCGTCTCCCTTGAGGGTACCTATTTTGGGTTGTTCCCCAACAGCTGAAAGCTAAGGCTCGGGGGAGCTCTAGGGTCACGTTCGAGCAAGGTTCGGGAGGTTCAGGGGTGGTCTGGTCTGGTAGGCCAGGTGTAAGTTCCAAGCTTCAAGGCAGGTTCCGGTTCCGGGCTGCCTGGTGCAGTTCTGGAGGTTCTGGGGTGCCAGGTGTGAGGTTCAGGAAAGGAAGGGTCTGGAGGTTCCTGAATCATCTGGTGCAGGCCAGGTGAATGGTTGAAGCGAGGTTGCGGAGGTTTCGGGGTTGTCTGGTTTGTGATATTATTTCCGCATCTGCAGAACCCACACGTTGCTGTTGGGGATATCACCTGAGTTGATTGTTCCATATATATTTCTATATATTTATTTTTTTGTTTAAAAAAAGACCCGAGACACCAATTGTGCCCAGTTGGAGATCGGCGCCGGCGGCTTGAGCTAAAAAAAACGACCCGATCTGGGCAAAGTACTCAGAATCTGACTAGAACCCTTGCTCTGACTTCCTGATTTGGTTAAAGTCCAGACTTGTTTACTACTGCGGATGGACATCCTGCACATGTTGGTAAAATTTTATCCAAAGTGGCGCAGGAGTTGGTCCATCCACAGTAGGGATGTGGTTCCCCAACAAGCTATTCACATGTCCTCTTAAATGAGTTGCCCCCCCTCATCTTTGCTTAAAGACTTGAAGTCCCTCGAGTGCTTTTAGGCAGGACCTTGCAGGGCACCAATCAAACCTGGATCGGTAAGCTCATTCGAGGGATAAACCTCGGACCGGGGCATTGGGGTTGGCATGTTGGTTGGACATTTGGTGATCATCTGCTTCTGTGTTGCTTGGGTTGGGCCAATATGTGATCCGTGGTGTTTTTCAGGGACCTTTTGGTGGGCATCATTTAGGGGACTCACACCAACCACTTTGGAGTGGGTCCTTCTTAAAATGCCTAGCCACATGTTGTAAGAAAGATTGATCAATGAATTGGACCGGACTTCCCAGTGAAAAGATCGAGCTGCTCTTTTTTCAGAACTGGTGCGAATTATGATACCTTCCGAGCGGATTGGCCGAAAAAGGTCCAACTGTTTCTTAGCGACTTAAATGGTCTCACAAAAAGTAGGAAGTCCAGGAACTCGCGGCTCGAGTAATTCCAAACACCCAAAGAAGGGAAGGCCCCTAGGGAAGGAACGGAATCACGGAGCAAATCCATCGCGTCGCAAACCAACACCTTTGTGAGCTATCAGACATTCGACGAGTAACCTGCCCTACGATGCGTACTGTAGGTTGTTTCCTTATACCAAGCAGAATTGGACTTTTGGCCCCCTTGAGGAAGCAAAGGGCCTGCTTCAAACGCATGTCACCGGGTACAAAAGGTGAACCCTGTATCCAAAAAGGGGGGGGTGCTGAGGCGAAGCGCTTCTCTCCTGAAAACTCGCACGAAACAGATACCCTCCCGTCCACTAACATGGAACCTGACTCAGGGGTTCGGGAAGACGATGTTTCGTTAAAGGGGACCCCTCCGGATGGGTTCCATGGTAACGTGGACAGGAGGGTACTCTCACGCAAAGAAAATGTGAGCTGACTAACATGGAACTGCACAAAGGCGACCTCGTTTGGAAGACGACGTTCCTCTCGGAAAAGGGGGTGTGCGCGCCAAACCATGTTGGTGGAAAGCAAAATGCCTGTGGAATCTGCTACAACGGATACTCGCATCCAGGAATTGCTCACCCAAGAATCATTTTCAAAGTCAATGTCCCAACGTCAATGCCCCACCAGCATGTGATAGCGACAGCAGTCCTTGTAACTCGCATGATAGTGGGCGCGTACTGATCATTCGGCATCAAGCAGAGTTTGTTTTGTCCGAACGCATGGAACATGTGGGGACTTGTGCATCAAATGCAAGAGAGAAAGATTCACTCTCGTCCTTGCCCATAGCCATGAGCTCAAGGGTCTCCTTGCCTAACAGATTCATTACCCCTCACGACTGCGTTGGTTGAGTCACCGAAGCCTTTCCAGCCGGTGTTCGGGCAGCAAAAAGTATCGCTGTAGGTCAGTATACCACATGCGATCGCCCTAAAGAGTACACGTGGTATCCAACAGCCTTCGACGTTCACTCACCAGATCTTGCATTTTTGAAAGTTCATGTTGGACGTTTCTGCCTTTGACCTCCAAGGCTTAGACCCACGGAATTTTATGATGTACCAGGGTCCCTATGAATTGGTCGGGCTGTGCTATTCGTGAGCTCGAAACAGATGGCATTCCAAACATATCTTGTCTCCGCGGAGTGCACGAAAGCTACCCAAGAAAAATCGGCGAGTGTTCAAAATTAGTCTTGGGCATCCCCCTCAGTAGTGGACCGAATGAGGCCATATGTTTGACCCTGTTCATCTCGCTTCCGCGACTGAATCCGGGCATGCTAGGCGCTCTCGTGACATATCCGGACCCCAAACACTCGGAACATCAAGGAAACACATAGCAGCTATAGCAGGGCAAAGTGCTTGAAGTCTGGCAATGCTACACGTCAGGCCATGAGACCAAAGTTGTCGCAACGAGTCACGACGTTTGTAACACAAAATTCTCGCCGCACGGCCCGAAAGAGGGGGCCGTAACCAAGTCTGAGAAGTAAGTGGGAGTCTTCGAGTAGCATGTATTGGTGTTTTTGTTGTTTATAGCGTCCCGTTGTGGTCCACAAGCATTTCCCAAAGCTGATTTGGCGAACTAAGTCAAAACGAGTGTCTTTTCTTGGAAAACCAAAGGTCAAAAGAAAACATGACTTCCACAAAAAGCTGCAAAACTCTACTTGGGTTTCAAGAGCAAACAAGAAAAATGCATTTCTGCAAGCCAACTGAATCATAGTCAAAGCCTGATAAAGGGGCCTATCCAGACCATGGGCCATACAAAAAACAAAACGGTTCGCACCCAATCCCCAGGAGTTCGCCTTGCTGCGCTCACGACGCTTGATCGGAAACTCAGCCTGGGGCAAGGGGTGGGATCCAAAGCCCGAAGCAACGCCCACGTCCCTCCACGGCATCGTTGGATTACAATTTTCCCCAGGCTAACATGGAAGCCCCCAGAACCCCTTTGGAAGACTTGGTTTCAGTTGCACCTTCTGAGAACTTTCATGATTGTTGAGGGAGTGGCAGATTCCGCCTATATGGAGGATCCCAGCACATTGATTGAGGGGTGGGGGTGAATCTCGCCTGGGGCTTGTGTTTTGGCGCACATGGGTCTATCTAGGGAAGCCAAGGACGTTCAACACAAGCCGGATCCTGTCACAAGGGGAAGAAACATGTCGAAAAACAAAAGCAGATGCTTAGCTTCCTACAGTCTTGGTTGGTTCACATCCCTGTTTGTCAGGGACTCTGCCTTACTTGGCCTTATTTGGCTTCAATAGCGCTTATCAACCGCAAATCCTTGAGGGGTCTTTGAAGGGTGGTCCCTAAGTGTCACAAAAGCATCTTGAGACATGTGCATCCATCCACCCTCTGGATACTAGGGTTATCTCAAGCTGGTTCGGGCGGGGGGGATGGGTCCAAAAGTGAAAGGATTCCCAGTAAAATGGACTGTGCACCCCACATTGACCCACCAGTTACTCACCAGTTACAATGGAATAACAAATCCGTTCTTCCAAACAAGATGACCGAACCTTGGGGTTCCGCCCCCCATGACAAGGCCTTTGTCACCTCTCTGTCAAAAGGCCGTAATCTGTGTGTTTGTGCGTGTTTTCGCTGAGTTGGGGGCCCGTTTTAAAGGATACCCACTCATTTGCACATCTGATTTTAGACTTGGTTGTCCTGCTAAAGTTTAACTTTTTGTGGGTTTAGTAACCTAAGGGGATGGCTGGGAACCAGCAAGCAAAGGTTTAGAGCCCGCCAAGAAGGAGCTGAAAGGGCTAGCAGCCTGGATGTCTCGGTCCGGCGTTCAGAGCGCGCCCAAAGCTCGCGGGTCCGGCAACCCTCTGCCTTGGCCCCGGTGTCACGGTGCGACTCTCCTGACCGACCCACCGATACGCCAAGGCCGGGCCTTTGGGGCTGAATGTCGGTCAAGCAAACGGCTCCAAACCTTTTGGCTCACCAGTTGGAGTGTCTTTTGGGGGGGGGTGTAGGGTCCGCGACTCTGGGGGTGGTGTGTAGGGTCTCCCACTCTGGTCTGTGATTTCAGTCCCAATTCCAACGAAAACACCAGGAAGGTTGTTCGGCAGCGGTCTCAGCCTTTCGTGAGTCACAAGCAACACCTGGTCATCCTTCAACAACAAAGGTGCCGCTGATGTTGTAGTTGTTCCCCGAAAATTCCAATACTAAACCAATACTGAGCCGACACTAACTTATTACTCGGCTTACACAAAACCCAAAAAAATACACAGGATTCTGGCTGTTTAAATCCCTTACTGAGAAATTGTCGTCCTGAAAGCGGGAACCTCGTTGGGACGAGTGCCGATGAGGAGCAAAGAGGACTGAGAACTGAAGGACCGAGAAGGACCGATTCTGGAACTCCACTCCATCCGGATCTATTAGGGGGCGATGAATATTTACCAACATTTGGCATTTTGTGCTGGCATTTTATGGGGCAACGGATTTGGCCTTAAGAAGGCTTAGTTGGAGTAGGCTTGTTTGGCCTCAATTGAGCTTCTTAAGCCCTTGATTGTTGGGGGCATCTTTGGGAGTGGGGTAAACAGCGTTGGGCCAAGATTATTATAGTGGTCCACTCAAAACGATGTATATAAAGTGTGTAGAGAACCTCGACCCTTTCTCTACCCGGGTTTTCAGTGTGGCTCACGTGCTGATGCCTTTTGCCCAGCATCTGCTCCCAACAGCATTGCTTGTTCGACCTATCAACTCGGCCCGAGCACATAACTCCAAACGCCTCCGAATCCTCAGTTGACCCCCAGTTAAGTCCACTCCCCACTTACCCCACTTGTGTCAAACTCCACTCGAGCTACACTCAAAACCCACTTGACGCAATGGGTTCAAACGGGGAATGGTCCCAACCCCAACCGTCCACCGATCAAAAGCTTGGCCGAGTGGTTTGATCATAAAGTATGAGGGGTAAACCAAGTAAACCCAATTTAACTTTTAAGAGGTTTACAACCCCATCCGCCCATCCATATCGAAACAGAGGCCGTCAAGGAAATCAAGTTCCTGCAGCTTGCCAGGTTCCAGCGGGCTCCCGCAAGTTCCTTATGGACCAGGGTGACAATTTTCGGGGTTTGGGAAGCCCCACTTCTGTGATAGGAAGCTTCGCCTTGTGCAGAGTCGGTCCATTGGAAGGCCTGAACATTGGTATCAAAGAAGCGGTTGCTCTGTGATTGAATGTTAGACGAACTGAACACCTTTGGTTTTCATCAAGTCCCCCGCAAAAAGGGGAATCCACCCTTTTGTTCAAACCGCCGACTCATCTGCTCGGGTCGGACTCGGGACAGGCCCATGTGGACGGCCCAGGCACCGGGCACACCCACCAATCCACTCCTCCAGCATTCTCTCCTCCATCTCCTTGTCCTGCGCAGATTCGGAGCCAACCACTTCAGCCAGGGAAGGGCTTCCGGGAAGTCATCTGAACCGAAAAACCGTTGCGGGAGTCTGTGTCATGGACACTTTGACTTGCAGTGCCCCACTCTGCGAAAGGCGTGTGACTCACCCGGGGACCCTCCAATGCAGACCCCGCCCCGACCCCCGACCCTTCAAACAAGCCAAAGAAACAATATTGTGGGGCCATGACCAATTCAAGTCATGAAACAGGCAAATGTTGATCAATTGTTCGCCCTTTATTTAGCATAAGCCCAGGTGGTAGCCCCCCGGAACCACTTCCAAAACCCTAGCCCATGCCCACAAATCCGGAGCCAGCCCCAAAACTTTCAGCTACAAAACAAACATCAAACGAAAATCCAACGTTGCTCCAAATTCAGGGGTCGGGATCAGGTTTGCACTCCATTGGGTGCCATATCTCCCATGGCCTCTCGTTGAACGGAAAACCGCGGCGCTGATATGACCGTCCTCTTCCTGAAAGTGCTTAGCCTGAGAGGGACAGGCAGCCTAAAGCTCCCCTTCGCATACAGGTACGTCTTCTTGGCAGGCAAGCAAGGAAGCAAGCAAGAAAGCAAAAAGAAACAAACACAAAGAAAGAAGAGAGCAAGGCTTCTTTCCCTTTACAAGCAACAAACAGGGAGCTCCCATTTTCAGAGATAAGGATCCAGTTGAAAATGGATTGCGCGCTGTGAATGCTCGATTTTGGGAACCGCCCATTTAGTTTGAACGAGCTGAACTGCCACCAACAGCAGGTGAGAGAACGTCCGTAAGAATTTCGTCACGGTGAAACCCGCACGGGGCAATTGCAACTGGCTTCAGTCAACTGCTGCTCTTCCAACAAGACAATCGAAGACAATTTTTATGGACGAAATTCTGGACCGGTTGGTAGGTGGGCTATCCCGGTAGTGTTTGAAATTCGCCCTGTACCTACCCATGGATACTGTCCCTTCCTTATCCGGGTCTTGATCCTGGCTTGGCTTGAATCCCCACGTGCACGAACAGATCTAAGGCCAAAGAAGGTCACAAACTGATTTGTGCCGCCACGGTCTGACTATACTTCAAGTCCCTGGCAGCAGGACACGACTTGAAAAGTGCGATGTGTCGCGAGGAATTCTTCAGCTCCAAAGATAGTTGGAACCCAAGGCGGTGGTTGGGTGTCAAAATAGGAATCGGAGCCCCAACACTCCCCCTTTGGTTTCCCTTTGAAACCAAGGTGAAAAGCGCACCCTCAAGGAAACGCACCCTAAGCCAACAGACAGGTTTGGAACCATCTAGTCTGAACGACTGGTTGCAGAATGCCGAGGATTATACCATTGGTGCCAGCCAGTCAGTCCCTTTTGCCAGGTGATTCAGAGGATTCTCTTGTAAAGCAGGTGGTTTTTGGATCTATTTTTTAAGGAAACATGGAAGTACGACGGCGCAGCTCATTTCACCCATCATTGGGCCCATCAAACCTCCTGAGGCTGTGGACAATTCGCCCAGTGCCGGATGTCTGAGCCCCTTTAAAGGGTCTCCCAGAGTGTTGTCCTTTGAAACGTCCTTTTCCCAGCGCCGCCAAACGGAAGCCCAAAGATTCCTTCAACCGCAAGAGCCGTATCCCTAACTTGGATTCCCAACTGTTGGCGGGTCTTTTGAGGTGTGGTTGGAAGGGTCCATTGTAAACATATATGGAAGAGCCAGTTTTGGTGCTCGTAACTCGAAGATTTCGTCCCTTTGCCAAGGTTCACCCTTGTATCGGTCTTTGCCAGGTAGGGCCCTGGTAATATGTTCCTCCCGGGAAGGAACCCAACCGCCAACCCAAAGGATTCTGCAGAAGCGCCCTGGGCCTCTGTCAAACTCCGAAAGAAAGACATGAACAGCACTGAACTCTAGAACGGTTGTGGATTCCGTCTGTTCTTTCCCCAGTTTGGTGCTCTTTGACTACACAATTGGTACTTTCATCAATACCCTTCCAGGGTGGGTCCACCAAAGTGCCAAGCGGCACTCTGCTTTTTGAGGCTGCCATTGGTTGGGTGGTTTTAAGGGAAAACAACCGGACCACCACCGGCTCGGGTCTCCTATTTTAGATACGGGGCAAAAAGCAAATCGCTTTCATTTAAAGTAGGATAACCCCCTGGCTCATTTGCTCGACTCCAAAAACCAGCCAGAGTCTAGCCTTAGCTCCCTCCCTCCCTCCCTCCCTCCCTCCCTCCCTCCCTCCCTCCCTCCCTCATTCCCTCCCTCCCTCCCTCCCTCATTCCCTCCTCCCTCCCTCCCTCCCCTCCCTCCCTCATCCCTCCCTCCCCCTCCCTCCCTCCCTCCCTCCCTCCCTCCCTCCCTCCCTCCCTCAAAGGCGACAAACCAATCGCTTGCGGGGTGCGATGATAGCGAAGAACATGTTCACCAAGACGTACCTATCAAGTCTCCGGGGGGTATTGGGAGATTGGATCCGGGGTGTGGCTCCTGTTGAGGTTCCCGATATGTGGTGGGTTAAAGGGAAACCGAAGGAACACCAGCCATGTTGGGGGGGCTTGTCCACGGGGGCCGCTTATTTTATGGGGTGACAGTGGTCAGAAGATTTCCCCTCCAGTTGATCAACTAACTGGGCCGTGTCCTTGAACTACCCCGTTTGGAAACCCCAAGGGGCGGGGTGTACCTACCTAGAGATATCTGTTATCCATACCAGTGCTTCTCAAGCCGTGTGAGACCGAGGTCCAGGAACCGACCTCCCGCTTGAGCAAACTCAAACCCGGGGGCTGACCTCCAAAAACGATTCCCACCAAACGTCATAGCGAATGCCAATTTGGTTGGATCGGGGACCCTACCCCTCCCCCAACCCCCCAATACGGCCTTGACGGTTGGGGGAGGAGTCTTAAAGCTTTGCATGTAGGGTCTCACAAATCACTTGTCGGGCTGAACAGATGTATGTTCAACTTCTAGCAAGTAATAGTATGCCAGAAAAAGGATCGAACCATTCTACATTTTGCCAACCCCCCAAAGTACATATAGTACTATATTTGTTCTGCTGACAACCTAGGACAAATGCACCCTGCCTCATTAAGTTTGGGGGGGGTGTCTCGTGGAAGCCTTACTAATCCGCATTGGTGATGGGGTCGACTGCGTGAGGTTCGGTCCAAATTTCGATTGACACCTGCATCCATGCCGGGACGAGATGGCGGGGGCGCCCCAAGATTTCAACCAAAACCAGGGGTGCTAAACAACTCAATGTTGTCCCGTCGGACCCCAACAACAGTTGTTAACATTTCACTACTTGGCATGTCTTACCTTTGCCGGCCCTTTGGGCCTCGGGGAACCCTTAGGAAAACCCTGGATGTGGGTACCCCGCCCCAAATGGTGGTGTTCCTGTTGTCCCTGAAAAACAATCAACACAAGGCACCCTCAAAAAAAGACGGACCCGTATCACGTTCCGTCCATAGTGTTCCTTCGCGGGAAAAGGGACATGCCTTGCCCTTGCAACGGGCGCGCGCGCAACACGAGAGAGGCCAGCCTAAAGAGGACCATGTAGGAGTACCAGTAGAAGTAATACCTCGGGTGCAGGTTCTCGGCCGCCTCTTCTTCTGTGTGTTATGGTCATGGCTCCATCACCAGCCGCACTGGTTGTCTACACCCCTATTAAGAGGCCATGACCATCCCGCTTTCCCTATCCAGCCCAGAGCACTTCAAGGCAATCCGCAAGATTTCCCCGCAGCTTGCCCTACGGACCCCCTTTTAAAGTATGTCTAGGGTAGGAATCAACTACTAAACGCCCGAAAGGGCAAGGGGCAACCATCATAGCACCCAAAACGTCATCAGAGGGTATGGATATGTTCTAAAATTGAGAATGGACACCCGCTTGGATGTTTTCTAATTTGGGACACCACCAAACGGCTTTTGCCTTTCTTGGGGATCTGGTTTAAGATTCTGAGGTGGTCTCATAGAAACCAGCTACAGGAATTCATACCGGAAATTCACCAAACACCCACCAAGAAACAAGGATGGGTTCGCTGGTCTCTTAGATGATGATGCGTAAGCCACCCAAAAAAACGAAAAAGGACCTCTGCCAGAGGGTCAGGTCTGAAGGAACCCTGAAACATGTGTTTCTCTCTATGAGCCATGGGAGCCATGGTCCACATTTTTGCTGTCACCCTGGACCACAAACTGGACATATTGGCAAAACCTCCAAGATGTGTGTGCGCGTGCAGAGGTTGACAAAGTATGCGCCGTGTCAGGGTGTTGTTGTGCAGCCACAAAAGAATGGTGGCCCCAAGAGGGGCTATAGTTGTTTGTTTGTTTACATTAAGAGCAGCAAAGTTGTGCCATCTCCAAGATGAGCAAACATAAAACAACGTGGCAGGTGTATCTTCAGATGGGCTGTTTGGAGGTGTGAAGGTTATTGCATTGTTCTGCCTTAAGCCCCAAACATAAGCGGCGCGTTGCCTCCAAAAATACCCGCCCGGGCTAGGGCCTTTTGGCCTTACTTCACCGGATTTTCGGAAAATCCGCAGGCCACGCTAAAGGCAGTTTAAGCCCATGGGCTCGCGAAAGGTTCGCCCGGGTCCGTGCAAGAAATCCCCAACGCCTCGCCTGATTGAAACATAAGGGTCGATCTTTTTTGGGGGTACCCCCCCCCATCAAACAAAACAGTTACTCGTGTTTGTTGTTTATTACTTTAAAAAAAAAAAAAGAGTTGGTTTACTTTCAACATCACCCCAAAAATTGGAGTGTTGACGCCTCCCTTTCGGCTCGGCGGTTGTGCCGGCCGCCCGCTTCGCCGAGACACGCCAAGGAGTTCGCCTGGCGCATCGCCTCGAAGCTGCGGAAGGTGCCCAGGAACATCTGGAAGCCTCGGTTGCCCGCCCGGAGGAATCCCCCGGGGTTCGGTGGGCGAAACATCCCGGCGGGTCCAGCCGGGGCGGTCCAGGTTGTTGGGTTGTTTGTTTATTTTTATCTTTGTATTGTTGATTTTATTTTTATTTTATTTATTTTATATATTTTTTGGGGGGGGGGGGGCGACACCCCCGCCCCCACAAAAAGTTGTGGCGTTCCCTTTTTTTAACCTAGAAAGCCAGACCCGAAAAGGCTACCCTGAAAAAATGGCAGACACATCTGAAGCCGTTATTAAGGGGTCCAACCATCTCGAAGTAAAAGGGTCAAGAAGACCATGGCGCATATGGGTTGGTGTCCTTTGCACGCTCCTTTAAAACCACAAGCAATGTGTACCGATGAAAAACGACACTCCCACTTCTCCAATGTTGGGAAGCTCGCGACCAAAGAAGGCCTTCGGCCTAAACCTTGGGGTCCCGGTGAATCCGTGGGAAGGGAACTGCCCCAGCGGTACTCGTGAGTCACTCGGGGTAGTCACGGGGTGACCTTTTTTTGCGAGGCTTTAGGCTGGTGAATAAACTGAACCGAGGAAAACCAGAAAGGGATGAAATCCAAACTATCTATTCAGGAACTGAAATCTCCCCCGCAAACCTCCCAACCCCCAACCCCCGGCAAACCTGCCAACCCCCCACCCCCCTGCCAACCTCCCAACCCCCCACCTCCCTGCCAACCTCCCCCCACCCCCCCACTCCCCCCACCTCCCCCCACCTCCCTCCACCCCTCCCCACCCTCACCAAACCAAACCCAGCGGCAGGTGATCACCGAATAGCTCAGGGTCGAGAAGTCCTCCAAGATAAAACATGGCCACGGTGGCACGTCGCAGCTGGTCCATAGGGATCTATGGGCGGCGTTAATTTGGAAAGCCCTTATGAGGACCGCCATAAATCTGGGGAGTTTGGGGGGAGGGGAAAGGTCCCTATTTGGAATGGTGCGAATAACACCAATCTGGGGGTGTTGGGTGAGAGGGTCCCTATTTGGAATGGTGCGACATCTTGATGGGAAACCTTTGGTGGACGTCCTCCGAACTCGGAATTTGGACCACCTTGAGGCGGGACCCCTTTTTTGTTCACAGCCTTCACCCAGTGGACCTTTGAACTTCGCTCAAAGCGATCCGGTGCACTCTCCATGGGTTCCGCACCCGCTCCAACTCCCAGCCCGCGTCACGCGGTTGGTGGGTCTGTCTCAAAACAGAGAGAGAACCGCTTCATGAAAAAACACAACTAGGTCCTCCAGTAAAAAGGTTTGAATAAGTTGGTACCCGATTTTTTCCCTGTAGTCTACTTTAGTAGGGGAACCCTCCCCAAAAAAAGAAAGGGTAAAAGGGACTACTGGGGGACCTAGACAAAGAAGCCAATCACCCGTTCTGGAGGAAGCTCCCTGCCCCCTGACTAAGACGTGAGGGGATAATTCATCAGGGGTCAAACTGAAACGGAGCAGCCCATGGCTCGCCGTAGAACGAATCATTCGAAGGGGGAAGGACCCCCATGCTTCCATGAAATCCAAAGTGCGCATGATGTTGAATCGTTGGAAGGGTCAGAACAATATCAACTGGAAAACATCCAAAGGACCACGCTAATCAAGGGAGGTCTCCTTATGGTGAGGGAATCAGTTCTCGTGTTTGGAAATTCTTCTGATTGTGGATCTGATGGCTGCAAAGGCGTCTTCCATGGGTGCTGTCGTTCATGCATACCCCTGTGAAGTCATGATATCAGTGCTGTTTGGGAAGGAAAAGGTTCAATAGACCTTGCAGATTAGTGTGGCCATTAATCACTGAATCAGCCAGTTCAAGGATCATGACAACGCTGTAGAGTGAATGGCATGTTAGATTTTTAAATGGACAATGTTTCTTGACGTTGGTGGTTTAACAGGCGCCCCCTAGAACGATACGAAAAAATCCACCCGAAACCTCCCCGATGGCCGGTGCCTCTCGGGAATCTCTTTTGATGAAGTGAAGTTGCTGAGGGTCTGTAGGCTTCTCTTCCACAAGGGTTAGGGGCTCTCAGACTCAGCGGTAATGAGGCCAACTAAGCCTAGTGTGCCATGGTCCCTTTTCAGAGCGATTTTCTGGCCGCGCTCCCCAATTGTTTAATGCTCCTCCATGATGGTGCCGAAGATGGTGTGCCCCATGGCAACCTCTGCGAGTCCATGGTTTTGTCTTCAGTTCCCCGCCCAAAAATCGAAAACACGAGCCCTTTGGGGTGCAAAAGTGAGGAAAGCGAGCCTCTAGTTGGCCTTTTTTGCGGAAAGCAATCGTGAACATGCTTTGCATGTTCCCATAGAGTTTGTCTCATGAGGGGACCCCAAAAACGCTTGGTGTCCTTTGGGTGTCCCTTAAACCAAGCTGAAAAGGGCTACGCTGAAAAACAACACAAACCCAAACATGACCCTACTTGAGGCAAGCAAGAGCTAAATCCTCCGCTTCTGCCAGGTGTTCGTGCAGCTGATGTTCCACATTCAGCCGCCAGCGTTCAAGCCATGCGTGTCTTGTTCTCACACATGCACGCTGGTTTGTGCATCGGCTGAGCGGATGCATCGATAGACGCTACCCAAATAGGCTCTGTTAAAATATCCCCCAGCGCTCTGCTCCTGCAAGCAGCCAAGCAGTCTCATGCAAAGCATCCATCCGGCATATTGCCATTCTTCGCTCAAGCAAAACCATGCCGTAAACTGCAAACAGGACACAGGTCACCAACACCCGAAGCTGCTGGCGCTCTGACACATGGCGCGGGACATGCGAGCATTGGGATGATTATCATGGGGGCACTCCATTAAAAAGTGGTTTGCTTTTCCAAAAGGCGATTGCCATGATTCCTCAAAAAAGACACGCCCAACTTGGTGTGCAATTTGGCGTGCGTGGTGGTAGAAAAAGGGTACAGCGCAGAGGTAGCAGTGGAGCATGGACGACGTAGCGGGGGTGGGCATTGGGAGTGAATAGAGCGCGGGTGAAGTGGCGCGAGTGTGATTATCATTTGGCAGGTGTGATAGCAGTCGAGCCTTCGTACGGCTTTAGAGCCACAAGAGCACAGCCCCCAACTGTTTCGCAACTGATTCGGACCCGGCAAAAAGCCTCAAATCAGGAGGTTCCCGGATATCACAGTTGAAAACTCGCCCCGTTCCCAGAACAAGATCCTTGACTGTGCTACGTGAGGCCATGGATTTGCTGGGCCCGGGTTTGACACGGGATGTACGGACTGTGCTCGTTGGTCTAACCTCAATGCTCCTAGGGGTTGAAAACTCCCCTCAGAACCAACCAACTTGTCCTTTGGTTGCACTATGTGAGCAGCCCATCTTGCTGTTGGGCGTCAAAACAGTTGATTTCCCGTTGGTGTCTTGTTTCCCTGTTGGCTTCCCCCCCCTTTTGGGGTCCCCTCCGGGGAAAAACACACACACGCACACAAGACCACCTGCCCAGCCGGCCCAACCGCTTCCCACTTGGAGTCTTCGGCGTCCGGCTTCCGGTATTCCGAACCGAGAGGCATAGCCCATGAGCAGCACCACCATGACAACCAGGAAGCCTCAGGGTTTTAAGTTGGAAACCCTTGGGGTTTCCAAAGGGAAACCAACTTTTGGGCCATTGAAAAACCATTGAAAAACCAAAAAACACACCAACTTTTGGTGCTTGGATCAAAAGGAAAGGACACCAAGAAAAAACAACTGTTCAGGCCTGGTCTCAAAGGAAGCCCAAAAACCACATTGGAGTTGTTGAGGACAAGTTTCTCGGGCTTCGGAAAACCAACGCCCGGCAAGCCATGCCTGGTTGCCTAGTGAAGCAATCAATCCGCACCCATGGCCTGGCCTCACCGCCTTTGATGCCTCAGGGAGCCTTTGGCGGGGCCCTGCAAAAAGTGAAGTGAAGGAAAGCCGAAAGGGCAAAAGTTGGCAAAAGTTGAGCTGAGCTTAACACACCTGCACGTGTCTTCACTTCATTGTACAGAGAATCGGAATATACCCCAAACAACTGTAATTACGCCCCAAATGTCCGTGTGCGTGTACATGCATAGATTCTCGGAGACAAATCATTGAATTGTACCCTAAGCAACAGTGTACCTCTCGATTGTATTATCAGGTATGTTTAGGTATGCGTGTCTACATGTTATATATATATATATATATATATACATATGTCTCTCTCTCTCTATATATATATATATATGTACATACATATGACACATGTATATAATGTATATCGGTATGTGTATATGTGTGTATATACATGTGCATGGGTATACTATCGTAAGAGCTGCTTGGGGCTGCAATACATGCTTTCCGGAAGGGGGGTGAGTGGGGGGGGTCATATTTCTGTGTTTCCTGAAGGCAAACAAGCTCCCTCCCCCGGTCGGCCGAGCGTATGAAACTGACAATGGAACAGATTCTCGATGCTTTTCGCAAGCAGAACGCTTGCCCCCCAGTTTCCAGCAGTGAAGCTCTGGCCAAGTCAAAGCAAGTTTGTCTTTGAAGCCGCGAAGTGTGGTTTTGACCTGCGTTGAACTCTTGACGATGGTATACCGATGTACATATATACATATGTGTTTACGTTGGCATTCAGCCAAAAGGGAGCTTACATGCTTGCTAGCAAAGAATGGGTTGCTATCTAAACATGACAAAAGCCCTAAGGTCGTAAGATCCTATTGCCATGCCCAATGAACATATCGAGCTTTGGTAAATACCTCTTGAGGTTGGTGTCCCTATGTTCCTTTCAAGCAGCCCCCCCTTGGCAAAGCAAAAACAACACGTCTAACGCTGCCCCCCAAAGAAAAAAAGGAAGTTGGTGGGGGGGGGCCTTAGCAAGGCCAAATAAGACAAAACAACTGTGCAGCAATTGTAAGTGCAAAAACCGGTTGAACTTATTGGTTAGTAGTACCATGCATGTTTGCCCGAAAAGCTAAAAGTTCTAGATTCAACTCAATAGCAGTGAAGACAAGGCAACTCAATCGTTGGAATCTCGGGCGCTACCAGGTTCGCACTGGTAGGTTGGATCCGTGAAGCGATATACCACCGTCCCTTGCCATCACCGAGCATTATCCCAACACCCAGTTTTCCACAACCATTTTGAGCGTCCCTCAAATTGGTGGTTTGGACATGTGGCTTGCAAAGGCAGCCCAAAACCCAAACTGTCTAAAAGCATGACAGGGGAAATCGTTCAATTGGTGTTGGTCGCGCCGCGGCGTGCCTTGGAGGGGCTGTCGCCCTGTCCTCCCAACCAACCAACCAACCAACCAACCGACCGACCGACCGACCGACCGACCAACCAACCAACCAGCTTGGTCGAGAATGGCACCAACCTTGTCACTTGTAATGTTCTACTACCAGCGAATATGGGGCGGGATATGGGGACTCGAATCCACTTCCCCGTTCCTAACAGATCAAAACGAGGCTGTTGCAACAACAGTGGCTACATGTGTAAGCATGTGACCAGTGCCCAAGACCCATTCACTGTTGGCTCTACAAAGCTTATACAAGACTTTACATAGGCTCTAATATCGCCCCCGATAAGACCAGGAAGCAGAAGCACTAACTAAATGGCGGCCTTAAAAAAATCCAGGGAGGCCGCCACGGCCAAATACTCTTTTCCCCACCAGGACGTGGGAAAATGGGTGAGTTCCTTTGGCCCCATTTATCAAGCCTAAAACCAGGTTGCGCATTGAGGCCTCTCAAGCATTGGTACCTTCCGGGCCCTCGGGCAAGCGATGTCCGCAATGCCCCGCAGCATGGTCTTGGCGATCAGCCTCGATTGATGTGGCGAGCTCGTCTATTTCAGGCCGCCGAAATATCGGGTTGGTTTGGAGAGAAGCTAAAAGGACACCAACCATTCCGGCGTGTCTGTTTGACACGTTGGCAAACACGCAAACACGCGAGACGCGAAAACACAAACACGCAAACACACTAAAATGAAGTTGATAGATACACAAAACTGCAACCAGCCAACCAACCAACCAACCAACCAACCAACTAACCAATCAACCATCCATACATCCACCCAACCAACCCACCCACGAACCCACCCACCCACCCACCCAACCAGCCAACCAACCGACCGACCGACCGACCGACCGACCAGCCAGCCAACCAACCGACCGACCGACCGACCAGCCAACCAACCAACCAACCAACCAACCAAACCAACCAACCAACCAACACAACCAGCACAACCAACCAGCACAACCAACCAAACCAAACTAAATAAAAATGATGCCAAACAAAATCAAACCAAGCCAAACCCACCAGCCCACTCAATTCAATCAACCGAACATTCCGACTCGTCCTTCGCTGCTCACTGCCCGCCTGCCGTGCGGGAAGGCTGAGAGGTACTTCTGGTAGCAGAGAAAGAGGAAGATGGTATTTGCCTGAGCCGTGACTCGATATGGTTGCCAAACTCAGATTTATTGGTCTGATTTGGCCTTATTTCCCAATGCTTAGGAGCCTGACGTTATCTGCTGTACAAGGATTCTGATCCTCAGAAATCAGCTGGTATTCAAGTACTTAGTGGGCCTAAATGTGTCCTGGCGACCCCGCAGAGGGCGCTCTTGATTGTAAAGGTAAGCCCCCCACCCCCGACCCCCCACCCTCTACCCCCCACTCAAAAAACCAACACAAGGAGACAAGGGCGCCACTGGTCTGGGCTTTCTGTGATTGGCCAAAGAGGTGTCCCATCTCTTCGACGAGCTTATCCCTTCAAAACAACTAGCAAGGGAAACACAGACGGTTTAATACTAGCAAGGGATTCCCTACAACCCAAGCTAATTACTGTTTGATGTGCTTGGTTCTGGTCCGCATCTAGGGGGACCTATGCAGAATACTCCCTTGCAATTTCACATGCAACTCAAAATGGTCCCAAAGAAAGAGGTTCCCTGTTGCTGGGCTGTCCTCAAATCCCCTGCTACAAGCTTGCCTTCTAGTGGCCACTAACCCTAAAAACCTAAAAACCCTAAAGAACCGAGCAGCTGGTAACCACCAAGGGTAATCTGGTGTAAGTTCAATCAGCTTCCCATCCACTAGCCCCGGCCCTTCCCGGAACGCTGAGCGCCCGTCTGCACAGACCTGCGTAAAGAACCTGCGTCGCTCAAATCGCCAAAGTCTGCAGCAGCCATGGATGAAACCCTATGACTGGGACAACCTACTAACGGGTGCAGGAGCTTGCATTCTGAAATGATAAACCACGGGAAAAGCTTCCGGGAAAAAGGGCGAATCTTCCATGGCTACTCCCACATTTCGGGGATTCCCTTTGTTCAGCACAGAGCATAGCTCAAAAAGGACAACATTAGGGCCCGGTCGTATTGGTGGGAAAGGCGCCAACAACCAAAACCTGTTTTTTTCTGCAATCACCCTGTGGATAAGGTGCAAATATCTGGTGATGTTTCAAACGAGGTGATGTGTG